AAAATGTAGATTTGACATTTTAAAAGAAAAAAAAAACCCGAACGGCTCGGTCCGGGCTCAGCTCGGCCCGCTAAGGCTCTAGTCGAAAGCTCGGGCCAAATCCGAACGGGTCGGGCCCAAAAATCTCGATCTAAAAAATCCAGCTGAGCCCAAGCTTTTTTTTGTCGGTCCGGCTCTTTGACATAGCTACTCCCTCTAATCTATCACTCTCCCACTTCTCTCTCAGCATCTTTTCTATTCTTACTTTATCCTCATCTTCTTGAAATTCTCTCTACCAATAGCGTAGTCACACACCATCTTCCTAGAAGCTTCTATAACGCTGCCGTGCAAAGTGGCTTGTACAGCCGCTGCTTGCCTTTGCTTTTACTGGAACCGAAAATGAAAAAAACAAGAATCGAATTTTCTAAACATTGATTGTGGATTGTTTTGGTTGATGTTTGTCCAAAGTTGAGGTCGTCTAGGCATGGATTAACTACCGTAGTGGTGTACGATCATGGGCATCACTTTGGAGGCTGAATTTTGCACAATTCCCTACTGTTCTTGGTGGATGTTTGGTCGGGATCTTTTACGGTTTGGATCATTTGTTTCTTTGGTGGTTTGTTTGGTTGTTTTGGTCATTGGTGGTTTGCTTGTTTGCAGTTTGTGAATGGTAGTTCTGGTAGAGTTTTGGTGGTGAAGGTGGTTGTTGGTGGTTTTTTGATTTGATGTGCTGTGGTGGTGTCGATGATGAAGATGGTGATGTTGCAGGTGGTGGTGATGGTTGTTGAGAAATTGAAACCAGAAGCAATCCAGTAGAAAAATGAAATTGTAGCAGAAACATGGACCAGCAAGAACAAATCAGAAGAAGAACGAAACTGAGACTTCAGCTACTACGAACCAAAGGAATGAAACTAAATTGAAGCTACTACTAACTGAAACCAGAAAATGAAAAGATAGAATTCAATATGATGAACACATTGAAGGAACTTGAGAAAGGCGAATTTTATTATTCATCAAGCTCAATTAACATTGTGAATACATTGATCTATTTATAGGGTAAAATATCTAACAAACTAACTAATAACAAATTAAAGAAGAATTTATATGAAGCATGCGTTGTCCGTGTGCTTGAAGGATCTGGAAGGAAGGAGTTGAACGTGAGCTGGACCATTGGAGAATATGCTCAGCGCCTCTTCTGCTGATTGTTAATTCTGCTGAATACTTCCACTTATTCCAACACACCACCCTCAAAATGGAACATCTTGAGTTTTAGAGGGAATAACAGAGATGCAGGAGAAGCTGGGGTCGAAAGAGAAGCACTCCAGAGAGAAAAACTGCAATATACTTCAACTAGAATGAAAGAGCATACATGGCTCTGAAACCGGGGATTTGTTGAAGAAAAAATTCATCACCATTGATGAGTAAAATGAAAACTGGAAATGCCAAACACCAGTGTAATCTCCAAGCCTCTCGCCAGTGGGAACTTTTGTTGAACACCTTGAAGGAAATCCGAGAAAACTGATTTGATTGAATCTGAAATTCAGCTTCTGCCATGGAGATGCAAAGAAGCTTTATCAAAGAAGAAAAGAACAGCTGGAACAGAAGCCATTACGCTCTGATACCATGTTGAGAAATTGAAACAAGAAGCAATCCAGTAGAAAAATGAAATTATAGCAGAAACATGAACCAGCAAGAACAAATCAGAAGAAGAACGAAACCGGGAGTTAAGCTACTACGAACTAAAGGAATGAAACTAAATTGAAGCTACTACTAATTGAAACCAAAAAATGAAAAGATAGAATTCAATATGGTGAACACATTGAAGGAACTTGAGAAAGCGGAATTTTATTATTCATCAAGCTCAATTAACATTGTGAATACATTGAACTATTTATAGGCTAAAATATCTAACAAACTAACTACATAATAAATTAAAGAAGAATCTAGATGAAGCATGTGTTGGCCCTGTGATAGAAGGATCTGAAGAAAGGTGTTGAACGTGAGCTGGACCATTGGAGAATATGCTGGCCTCTTCTGCTGATTGTTAATTCTGTCGAATACTTCCACTTATTCCAGTGGTGCTGGATATGAGATGAATTGGGGTTATATATAGAGGGTTTGTGACCAAGGTCAGAGGTTCATTGTGCATAAGTGACAGATAAATGTCCATATATCATAGATCAAAAAGGGTTTGGTTGGATTGGATTGGATTGTGCTTCCATAGATCATATATCAAACAGGACTGGTCATAGATCATGTTTGCAAGTCACATGTTACAATCCTAGGAGGTGATGATAGGTCACATATCACATGTATTAGGTCATAGGACATTGGGCATAGGTCACAGAAAATGTCCATAGGTTACAGATCAAACAAAACTTCTTACAGATCATTTTTGCAGGTCATATGTCCCAATCAATAGGTCACATATCAAAATTAACTGGTCACAGATCATATGCCACGTCTTTGTACACTGATAACATGTCACAAATTCAAGTTCACATGTCACAGTTTATATGCGTGTTCACAAGTCATATGTTATATTGTATAGGTAAGATTAATGTCCACAAGTCACGGATCCAAAAATACATGCAATTGGATCAATATCACATGTAATAGTTACAGGGCACATGTAAAAAGTCGCTTATCAAAGTGCATGAGTCATGGTAAAAAATTCAAGAGAATTGGTCACATGTCATTGATTTCTCAGGATTTGTCACAAATTCAATTATCTAGATTTCGACAGTGAGAATTGAAGTTATTTACTTCAGTGAGTACTCTGTAGATTACACGAGAGGTTGTTTTTCAATTTCCAATTTAAAAAAAAAATAGATTTACAGTGCTGCTCAGTCGCCGTTGAAGAAGATGATCAATCGTTGGTGATGCTTAGTCGATGTTGTTCAACGACTGCTACGTTTCTTCATCTCTCTTTCTACTATTTGATTTGACGATACTCAATCATCGCTATGCGATGATGAGTTTGCATATGAAGAAGATGTTTAGTCGTCGATGATCTTTGTAGATTCTATCTTTCCTTCAGTGAAGTTATGTGGATGTTGACGACGGTAAGAGAGGATGACGATGGGTGGATGCCGGTGATGGTGGCTCGGACTAAAGAGAGATTGAAATTATTTTATATATAATTTTTTATTTAATTAATAGAATTTAATTACCCCATGAGTTTTGAAAATGTAAACTTGTTCTTTTAAACTTGAATTGGGCTAAACTTAAGGCATGAGATATGAATTTTTCTCCATATAGAAATGTGAAGAACCAAGTCTCACCCAGCCTGTCACAAAACACAGGCCGGCCGAGGCTGGTAACCAGGTTGTTTTGGGCTCTCTTCCAAGTACCGACAACATTCTCATCCTCAATCCCCGGCAAACTTTATGGGAATTGGAGCATAAATGGCAACCATTACTGTCCACCTGAAAGCTAGAAGACTCATTCAATTATTGTTTCCTTCATTTTCTGATTCTCTTTTAACAATTTCCATCGTTCAGACAATTTCCTACGTCCTAGGCATTATATTATAACTGATTTTATTCTTATGTTTTAAGATTGCAGTTTTGACAGCAAAAAAAATATTTTCATTGTCCAATTTTTCTTCAAGTAAATACATATAGCTGCAAATATGCAAAAATATTCTCTAACATTCCTTGTTCCACTTTTACTGCAAACTTTTTACTCTGCAAGTAAGTTCATTAATTCATTTTTTAATTTACTATTGGTTTGCTTTCATTTTTTGTTTGATTTCTCTCTTTTCCTCTATATAATGCTATTAAATTTCTTCAAAATTGTCTAATTCAAGGTCACGATCGATATCGTCACTATCATCAATAAGAAAACCTTTAGACTTGTTATCCAGGAATTTGTTCAAAAATACCGTAATGAAAGGAACATAGGAGTTTGTCGCTAGACATTTGACCAAATAGGATTGTCCAGTTCCTATAGTACTTATCACTAAAATTTCTATTTTGTTTTCCTATTTTGTAGACACACAATCATTTATTGGAGTGAATTATGGGGACCAAAGCAGCGAGCTTCCTCAGCCAGCGGATACGGTGAACCTTTTGAAGACTACAACCATCGCCAAGGTTAGGTTGTTAGGTTCCGCTGATCAATCGATGATAAAAGCGCTTGAAAACACCAACATTGAACTTGTGATGGGGCTCGACAATACAGAAATTCTTTGGGTAGCGTCCGGCCCCGATGCCGCGAGTCAATGGGTCAACTCCAAATTGTTGCCATATTACCCGGCTAGTAAGATCATAATAATCACTGTTGGCAACGAGGTCTTGACAGCGGAAAACCAAAATGTAATTTCTGCACTCTTGCCTGCTATGCAGAATATCCAGAACGCCCTTAATACAGGTAATTTCTTACTCGTCTGCCACATTTTAGTCGACCTTGAGAGTCGATGGCGAAAGGTGAAACCACATCAAAATGCTTAAATACTTATAATTATCTTGTAAATAATCCTGAAAGATTTATAATGTGATTCTCAGCTTCACTGGGTGAGAAAATTAAGGTCACAACGGTACATTCGATGGCGGTGTTAGGTCAATTTTCCCCACCCTCATCGGGGGCCTTCCACGTTAGTTTCGTTGACGCGATGAAAGACTTGCTCAAATTCCAGAGTGCACATGGTTCGCCTTTTTTGATCAATGCATTCCCTTTCTATGAATACAAAAGCAATCCTACGCCTGAAACGTTGGCATTCTGCTTGTTCCAGCCTAATTCCGGGCAACTTGACTCGAAAAGTAACATCACGTACATGAATATGTTCGACGTGGAGGTTGATGCTGTACGTTCTGCCTTGAATGCAATGGGATATAAGGATATGGAAATCGTCGTTGCCCAGACAGGGTGGCCTTATGAGCACAGCCGCGATGAAGTTGGGCCGAGCTTGGATAATGCAAAAGCCTATGTTGGAAACTTGATAAACCACCTGAGGTCAAACGTTGGCACCCCACTTATGCCTGGAAAGTCTGTTGATACTTATATATATGAACTCTACGACGAGGACGAACCAATGGGGCCAAGCTCAATCTCAGATCAATCTTTCGGGATTTTTAATAGTGATTCTTCACCACTTTATGATGCTGGTCTCTTTAAGAGCTCACAGGTGAGGAAATTCGTTCATTATCAACTTTGATTAGAAATTTCACTTCCCTGTGGGTTTTATTGTAGGTTTCAGTAAGAATCTAACTTAATTGCGGAATCAACTAAAACTTAACTTAGTCACAGGACCCAATGGAATTGATCTCTTGTCAACGGTAAAAAGTTTTTATCTTGCCTACTGGGGGCATGAGATCAGGACTGTTTAACCCAAATACTACAAAAGATTAACAAGTGATTGAAGTTTGGATTAATGTTTCAATGCACAGTTTGGTGTTTCATTTTCTGTTTTCACTTCCGTATCTTAGGATTGACGTTTAAAACCTTACATTTTTCTTGGTTATCATGCCTAGAATCCAATTCCGCCTTCACCATCAACTCTTTCATGTCCCACACTAGCACCAAGATCGGCGGGACTTTGGTGTGTGCCCAAACCAGACGGTATCTCTGATGCTCAATTGCAGGAAATTATTAACTCTACCTGTAACCAGAAGGGGATTGATTGCAGCCCAATCAAGCCCGGGGGTGCTTGTTTCGAACCAAATACTTTAGCATCACATGCCGCTTATGTGATGAATCTACATTATCAAAATTCTGGCAGCAATCCATGGGAATGCAACTTTGCTCAGACTGCAACTATCACTACTGTTAATCCAAGTGAGTGCTTATTAAAGAGAGCAAAATGAATTAATAACCTTTTTCATCATGATATCATGAACAAATGGTTAAAAGGAAAAACCCCGCATTGATTAAATATGAAAAAAAATAATCAACGTATAACTGTATAAGATTTTGGGCTACTCTTCATTACAAAATTGACTTTCTAAGAAAAACCTGTAAGAACTATGTGATTACAATTACAAGAATCTTCATTTTCTCGCTGTTTTCTCCATTTATTCTCTGCCCGAACAGAGAAAGGAAAAAAAATTATGTCGAACGAACGCTGTCGTAAAAAATATAATTATGACGGTTACGTTTTTCATCATAAATATTGGGTGGTAAAAGACGTAGGCACTTTTGGTGGGGATTAAAATCAAATTTTTAGTAGATTTTCATAAAAGTTGATAAAATGTACAGTTGAAAAGTTCTGAATCCCATAATATATATGTTAAAATTAATTATTAATTTCGACTTAATTAAAATATGATTTTTAATTCCTACCAAATATGGACATCGTATAATTAACCACTGCATAAGTGCCATCGTAAAACACTTATATATGAGTCCGTGTCGTCTGTCGACTGTCGATCATCACAAATAATTCATAGCAAAAACTCAAATTTCATGTAGCGTTTATGAACATCTCTTCCTGTTTTTCTTTGAAAAGGAATTTTGCTTCGATGATTTATTATTGCTTATTCTTATACTTTTTCCTTTTGTTGTAGGTTACGGTGGTTGCGTTTTCCCTAGTGGTAGTGCGTGAAAGGAGGAGGAGTTTTGGTTACCTAAATAATCAGAAAATTAGCTGTAGCGTAGTGGTTTTGAATCTTTTGATCATATGAGTTTTGTAGCCCAAAGTGTCCGGTTTTGCGTCTTTGATAATTTTAAATTTTAAATTTTTGAGATTCAACTGGGCTACTGATGTCGATTTTGTATTTTGTAAGTGTAAAGATTGTGACGAGTAATAAAATGGACCTTCCATATTATCGTTCTCACGGGTACTACTATATAATATTTGGTTAAATTATTCATATCTTCAATTCGATTGAGGACTAATACAAGATGTTTATCTTATCTTTACGAGTTCTTGTTATAATTCTACGAAAACAATAAAAGTGAATTATTTATATGATGATTTAATTTTTTAGGATTCACGAGTTTGCTCCTTAGTCTCAATCACCAATTTTTATAACAATTAATTATATATACTCGATCAAATTCTTCTAATGTATTCAATTTACCTTTCTAGACTTCAAATTGATTATTTAACTAAGTCAATTTCATATCTTTATATGAATCTGAATACATTTAGTTTAACGTCTTAAATCTCTAAGAATTTAATGAAACAACGACCACACTAACTAGAAAATGCATCTCTACACTTAATTTAATTTTTTTGGTTGTGAATTTTTTGACAATTTCACTATGATGTCACCAATTTCGCATTTTCATGCTAAGGTGAATCTCACACTTAAAATCTGAGTCTTTTTTTTTTTTTTTTTTATCTTTTCCTTTTTTCTTTTACTTTTCTTTTAGTAGTCTTGACCAAGCCTTTTAAGGTGAGCGCTTCAAGTTTAATTAATAATTAATTTTAAACGAATTATTTATGATGTCATAATTTTTGATGAAATTTTTCCTTCACTAAATTTTTTTGCACATTTGTGATGGAAATATCTTGATCCATTGAGGGTAATATCCAACAAGAACAGTACCAAATTACCAATGACGAGGTAGTCAACTAACTATTTTATTTATTACATCGTTGACAGTTTGAATAAAACTATCATTAAAAACTTTTCAGAAAAAAATAAAAGAATCTATAATTGAAGGCTATTATATTATAATATTTTTCGAAGAATTATGTATACCTTTTAGGATACAAATTAATATTGCTAACAATCCTATACACACACACAAATCAATCCATGTGCTTGCTATACAATCAAATTGTAAAACTTTTTCTTTTTTTTTTTAAATAACCATTACAATGATATTTTATTAATGTATACAAGTGATTAAAGTACAAATAACGAGGGGACACAGAGTGTGACCTCTAGCCAGAAAGAACACGAAAAATTAAGCTTGTTGGAAGGTGTTAGGTTTTTAATGTAATTGACAAATCTATGAACAAAAAGAACTAGAATTAATGTGTTGTAAAAGTCAATGAGCAAGTTGCAAATATAGTTAATTGAGTCGTATTAGGTTTAGGGTTCGAGAATGGAAAGAAGGAAAAAACTGCGCATCAATTTCGCTAAACTATCGCCATGACTTTGCTCGAGCGGCAGAAACAGAAACATGGTCGGTCGCTTGTCGTCCAACCTTCGCTCGAGCGATAGTGTTTCTCAAAAAAATGTATTTAATGTTTTTAAAGCTTTTTGTCTGGCCCATTCAATCCTAAACCTAAACTATAAATACCAGCAAGCCTATGGACGATTTTTCTTAAGGTTGATCAATGAGAAAATACTTAATGCTTCATATCCTCTTCGTCAAACAAGCTTTCAACCTTCATGTTTGATTTGTTCTTGGCATTGAAAAGATCAAACCTATAATCCAAATACCAAACTGATACTTACTGTACATCTATCAGAGTTCTAAAGATTAGGGGAATGTGACTGGAATTTCAGTTGTTGAAGAACGCGGAGTTCTTCGTTAATACACATGAGATAGACGAATTCATAAAATTGGGAGTTGGTGCAGGAGCACGCAATCCAGGAGGGCTTTGAAAACTATAGTTGGGAGTTGGTGTAGGAGCACGCAATCAAGGAGGGCTGTGGAAATTGCAGTCAGGAGGTCAGAAAGTACGAGTGGTAGTCGTGTATGGCGGATTGTAAGTTCATAATTCGTTTATAGTGGATTGTTAACTGGCAAAGTGCCTGAAGTTTTTACCCAATTGGGGATTTTCCGTGATCAATTTGGTTATTCATTTATTGCTTTCATATAACTCGGTAATTCAACTTAGAAAAAATGACTTGATTAATTAATCATCTAAAGATAATTAATAGTGACTTGTCGTTAGTTAATTATTAATTTTTTAATTCCACATAATCATCTATTCACCCCCCTCTAGGTATAATTTGGGTCGAACATCGTAATTTCAATTGATATCAGAGCTACATTTCGATTCCTGACCCATAAATTAATCTAGATGAGTCAGTCTCTATCCGTACCTCCATTTTTTTACGGAAGCAACTATGCTTACTAGATGGATCAGTGTACAAAATGGTTGGACTGCACCTTCATCCACTGTTGCTGATGTTGTTACACCCACTGACATTTCTCTTTGGACCAAAGATCGAGTAACTGATTGCAACTGGAATAGTAAAGGACTTCAAGCTCTATTTATGGTTGTGTCTACAGAGGAGTTTAGGATAGTGTCGATGTGTGGAATGCTAAAGATGTTTGAAATATCTTAGAAACCACACACGAGGGTACCAAAACTATTAAGAACTCCAAACTGCAAATGTTAACCTCTAAGTTTGAAAAAATTAGAATGAAAGACGATGAATCGTTTGACGAATTCTATGCGAAGCTTAATGATATAGTAAATTCAAGTTTCAACTTAGGTTAGAAGATTCCCGATTCTAAGATAGTTTGAAAAGTTCTTAGATCCCTACCTGAAAGATTTAGACCTAAGATCACTGCTATTGAAGAAAGTGAGGACTTAGGCGAAGTTAAGATAGAGGAACTCGTCGGATCTCTCTAAACCTATGAACTCACCATTTTTCAACCAAAGAAGATTAAATCCATATCCATGAACACCATTAAAAAAGAAAAAAGTGAGTCTACTGACACTGAAATCCTTAGGAACGACGAAATAGCTTATTTCTTGAAAAAATTCTAGAAGGCGATGAGGAAAAGGAGAAAACCTCACGATAGGAAAAATGATGTCTCTAGTAAATTCTCGAAAGATAAGTGTGAGAATAATTACCCTAAGACTTCTAGTAAAAAACCCCAGTCAGTTAGATGCTATGAGTGTCAGGGTTTGGGTCACTATATGAATGAATGTCCTAATTTGAAGAAGAATTTGAATAAAAGAAGGGGTAAGGGATTAACAGTGACTTTGAGTGATGATAAACTAGATTTGAGTGTTCAGAGTGATACCTCTGGCAGTGAGGATGAACAAAGTTTTATGGCTTTCACGTCTATAGCTAAGATTGAATCTGGTAAGGAGAGTAAAACAGTGGAGAATGATGAACAAAGTGAGAATTCTGAGGATGACTCTGAGGATGAGACTGATATTCATGAATTTTATCGACAGCTATTTGATAAGAGTCTTAAAATCAAGAATGTCAATAAAATTGTACTAAAAAAGGTTAATGAACTTGAGAGAGACAGAGAGAGACTCTTAGGTAACCTTCAAGATTTTACCAAAAATTTGGGTGAGTTGAAATTTGTTAATGAGAATCTAGAAGCAAAAGTTAAATCCTTAATAAGTGATCTAGAAAAATCTAATACTCAACTTCATTCCTTCACGAGTTGTACTCAGAAACTCGATAATCTGTTAAGGATGAACAAGCTTGTTGGAAGTAGGCACGATCTAGGATACATTCAAAATAGTAATACTACTGCAAGTACTTCCCAGACCACTTTCGTCCTAACCACCAACAAAATTAAGAATGCTGCTAATCCTGAACCCAATGGCAAGAATGTTTTAGGATCGAGACCTACTGGACAACGTAGGATAAATCGTCCTATAAATCGGCAACAACCTCTGAGTAGGTTTGAGTCTAGGTTCATTCCCACCTATCCCCATTGTGGTGCACTGGGACACACAAGACCTAGGTGTCGTAAGCTCGCGACTAGTAGTAAAAGTCAAGATATCTCGAGCAAGGTGAAATTTCTCGTCAACCAGGTTAGCCACTTAACTGACATGATGACTCGGTTAACTAGAATCACATCTACTTCTAAAAAATAGGTTAAGAAAATTGATCTTCCTAGGTCTAATGATCAGTTGAGTTGCTATGTTGCCCACGTTGCACTTAAAGCTCAAAATAACTCTATGTGGTATCTTGATAGTGCATGTTCTAGACATATGTGTGGTAGTAAAGTCTTGTTCTCTACTCTCAATGATTGGAATAGCGGTATGGTTACTTTTTGAGGCGGGGCTGCCGCACCTATTCTAGGTAAGGTACTATTAATATATCTGAATTACTTGCTATCTCAGATGTGCTTTATGTGAAATGTTTAAAGTCAAATTTATTAAGCATTAGTCAAATATGTGATGCTGATTTTGAGGTTAGTTTTGTCCAGAAAATATGTACTGTGTATGATTCTACTTGTAACGTTCTTGAAGGTGTAAGAACTTCTGACAATTGTTATGGAGTTCTTTCTTATTCCAACTATGTGTGTAGCAGTGCTAAGATTGATATGAAGGAACTGTGGCATCAACGCCTTGGTCATATGAACTATAAGAGTTTGTCTAAACTTGCTAAGAAAGAAATTTTTAATGGTTTACCTAAGCTTGAAAATAATGAAACCACTTTATGTGGACCGCGTCAACAAAGTAAATAGATTTGAGTAAATCATAAACGAACTTCTAAAATCTTGACAAACAAGTCGCTAGAATTACTCCATATGGACTTAATGAGACCATTTAGGACGGAGAGTCTTGGTAGTAAGCGATATATTTTGGTTGTGGTAGATGATTTCTATCGATACGCATGGATAGAGTTGTCGAGAAAAAAATTTGAGGTATTTAATCTTGTCATATCTTTGTGGAAAATGTTTAGAAATGAGAAACACTTTACAATATCTAAAACTCGG